CTTTTGCTTCTTCAAGGTTGTGCCTGTTGGGTGATAATCAACATGAACTTCATCATTGAGCAAATAATTGGACACACCGGCGGTGGGGTGGAATTCTCAGATGATGATTCACGGTCACCAGGCAGTGCCGGTGGTTGACTGGAACTGGAGTCCCTTCTCCTCTTCTCAATGGCCAGAGTACGGCCTCGTCCCTGAACGTCTTCCACATTCTGGCGGCGGCACCACTTCCTTACCCTTACCCTTGTCTACTTACCCTTTGCCAGCTTCTTCTTCAACGCCGGCTTGGGCTTTGGCCTTGATGGGCCCGGTGCTGGCGTTGACTTTGTGACCCCAGCGGTGGATGTTGATGGCACTGGCCTGGATACAAAGAGGGTGCGGGCCTTGTCTTTCAATGGATGCTGCTGGCCCGGGGATCATCGGCGGTGATGTTCTTCCACATCAGCGCACTAACAAAACATTGCTGAGTGCGGTCCAGGTGTTCTAGCATCTCCATGGCTGCTGAGAGCAGGACCGGGGGGACCACAGTGGCCGAAATGCCATGGGTTTCAAAAACATGGGACTACTAGAAATCAGTATATCAACCTGGTGCTAATAGGGAAATACCCCCCAGATTATCCCCCACCTGCATAGCCAACCGAAGGTGTTCGCCGGTGACATAGTGTCCTGCAACGTCACCACACCTGCCAGTATTTGAATGACCTGAAGGCGCGCAGCATCGAGAAAGCCTCTGTTGGATGTCTCAGCAGAGAGGGCATGATGAGGAGGAGGGAACTATTAAACTTGAGAAACGAGGGGCGATGGGTGATTGAAAGGACTGGTAATATGCACGTAGGAAGCAATGAAATTTTAAAATGAAGCGTGTCTCGCACGGCCAGGCACTCCTGCAGCAATGTCCTCAATTGACAAGGAACCTGGGTTTTGAAACTATGTTGGTCCAACTTCTGGGCACGACATGCCTTGTTTGGTTTTGCTGAAATTTAAAGTTCCGCGAACTTCCAGTCCACAAAAATCAAGATATTTAACATGGCCGAATCCATCTGTTCGGTTGTCACTTTCATTTTTCATCCTTAAACTTATTGAGAACGCCATGTCGCCACCAGTGCAACGCCAAGTCCGATTCGATATTCCAATGGATACCAATGAGGAATCTCAATACAATGGTGAATCTAGATCACCGACATCCAATGCCGCTGTGGGTAACACAGGTAAGTCTTGTTGCAGTCAGCCCATCTCATCTTACCAGACTTCAGCATTCTATTTTGGCTTGGTGCGCCACTGCCACCGCCACTGCCACCACCGCCGCCGAGGTTTAACTTCGGCATGGACATCCCCATGTTGGCGGTGGAATCCGCATCTCCCACAATACAGCAGCCATTGAATGTGGGATTTCAACTTCCCATCCAAGCAAAAACTCCACCGCCGTCCTCCACTCACCAGCCATTCAATTTGGGGTTTCAGCTCCCACCTCCCTCCACCCCGGCCCAAGCGGCACTACCTGCCGGCCCAGTCCAACAGCCGTTTAATTTGGGCTTTCAGCTCACCGCTTCCTCCACCCCGCCCCAAGCAGAACTACCTGCCGGCCCAGTCAACAAGCCGTTGAATTTGGGCTTTCAGCTCACCCCTTCCCCCACCTCGCTCCAAGCAGAACTACCTGCCAGCCCAGTCAACAAGCTGTTTAATTTGGGCTTTCAACTCACCCCCTTCCCCCACCCCTGCCCCAAGCAGAACTACCTGCTGGCCCAGTCCAACAGCCATTTAACCTTGGCTTCCAACTCCCCATCCCCATCAACCACACACCGGCGGCAGCAAACACTGCTCCGGCATTTAACTTGGGGTTCGATCTCCCCATCCCGGCGACCCAGACACCAGAGGAAGAATCTGCTGCCATGGTGCCGGCAGTACAAACCGCAGTCCGGCATGTGGGCTATGCCACCAACAACAGACATGAGTTCGCTTCACATATATTAATCAATTCTGACCCTCCAGCAGCGTTCCAGTTCAACTGTGAGCCTCTCTCACCCATAGGAGATTGGAATCCGGTGCTGATCCGAGCACCATCGCCAATTTACGCCGATGGCCCATCTGCTACCATGCAGCCGGCACCTGTTTGCACCGCCTGTGAGGCCAACATTAGCATCTTTAGTTGGCAATGCTGAGCAAGCGGCGATCGACATTGTCAGACACCTCCAAGGAGAGGAATGTAAGCCACATCTCTGCATAGTTTGTATAAAGAGTTTAACTCATCTTAACCAGTTGATCAAGTGGCGGCGATGATGGTTGGCGGGTCCTTAGGTGTTGGCGAGAGCATCCGGGACCCTAAGCCCGATGAGGTCTTGGACAGCAACCGGATTCTGATGTCGGCGTTCTGCAAAAACCGAGACAGGCTGACCAGGATCTTCAAAGACATGATTAGCTTGCATCATATGGCACAGGTCCAGGATTGGGTCGCCCCAATGGTGACTGCCCTATTGGCTGAGGTGGAGAGAGCAGAGGAATTGATTTCCGACTCTGATGAGTAGACAGATACCATCTCAATTTGTTAAATGTATCCTGTACTATATCACCGGTTCACCAGTGACTCAATTTAAATGTACTATATTACCATACCCACATGGATCAGTGAAATGATCGGCGGCAGCACCTAAAATCCCATTTTAAACAAGCAGGTATAACATGCCACATGGCATCAATCCAGCAGCAACATCTCTGGATTTGATACCTGGTGGTGCTCACAATGGGAGATAGTATAAGATGCCAGAGGTACTGGTATTGACAGGCATCTAGTGCAATTATGGAGCTGGCATAGGATGGTATTTCGATTGTAGCTCATATACATGATCATTATGATAGGCGGCAATGATCACTTCCTACTCCGTTTGGCCTTTGGAGCTTCAGCAACCACTGCCTTGCTCCTGGTTCTCCTAGCCGGCGTGTCACTGATAGGAGCGGTGGTACGGCGTTTTGATGCCTTGGTTGGTGGCTCATTCTCAGCGGTGGCACGGCGTTTTGATGCCTTGGCCGGCGGCTCATTCTCCACATTGGAACAAAGACCTTGCCTTGTGGTGTGTGGACCTGATTTTGCCGGTTCATGCGCTGTGTTGAGTGGAACTTTGATATTGCTGGTCACCTTTGACCTGACTGGAGGTGTTGCCTTGGCATATCTGCTAGTGGAATCATTGATTTGAGGCGCAAGGTTATCAGATGCCAAGTCATCGCTGGGGCCGTCACTGGATACTGGCAGCAGGCCTCTCTGAGTTACCTTTGGAAGGAATGATTCATCCCTGTCATTGGCAGACATTGAAGCCTCCTGATCTTCATCGGCAGATGACTGATGCTCCTCTTCCACTTCTTCCTCATCACTGCTTTGCTCATGGTGTGTTGAGGCACGTTTGTGCTTACCGGTGCTCTGGCCATGCCGAGTAGCTCGCCGCACTGCCTTGTGGAAAGATTTTGCACATGTCTCCATCTCGCCGTCAGTGTCTTTCCAAGCTTTGAAACAGAAGGTTGGGCGAAGCTTCTTTTCCTGTCGGTGATGCCAGAAATACAACAGAGCGGTGGCATCTGCTTTGTCCATCTTTGAAGGTTCCACCAACTGCACGTCGGCGGGCCAGTAGGTGTTGTCAAAGAAATCTGATTGGCTCTTCACCAAGTCACCCCATGGCACCGCTGCTGCTGCTTTGTCTTTTCCCATGCACATCCCTGTTGAAATCAATACGCGGCGGCATACTGAAGGAGACTTAAACTGACTGTAGTGCCTAGTGAGGAACGACCGAATGATATGCTGTTGATCGCTGCGTTTCCAGCCTGTGGTGTCAGGGAGCATTGGCCACCCATCATCGTCCTCCTCCAGTTCGAGGAGTTTTCGCGGCACACGTTTCTTGGTTGTCACCACCTGGGGGACATCTTCATCCTGGACGTCTGGATATTTGTTAATTAGAACACCGCTTCATTCTCTTGAATTGGCATCTCACCGAATTGCTCACCGGCATATTGCCGCCAGTCTGGCATGAAGTTCCCTTCCCAGTCCCTTGTCTTCAAAAAGCTTTCGCCGCCGCCAAACTGCTCATTGAAGTCAGTGTCTTTAACAAGTTTAGATCTGGCTGACCGGTGGTAGAGTTCAAACAACACTCACACTCCTAACATTAGTTTGCCTTCCCGGTTCTGCCATGCTGACATCACGAAGATCCTCATTCCAGCCTGCTTGAACATCTCCGTCGCAAAATGCTCGATCATGTCAGGCGCCTTTGGTTTCGGCAACATTGGCTTGAATGTCGGGCGGCGCAGCTTCATTGTTCCACTTCTCTGCCATCACTTTCGCCTCTTCCTTCTCCTCTGCTGACAGACCGGCGAGCACAGTCTTTGTGGCCTCCGGCCACTTGGTGATCATCCCCTCACTCCCAGGAGTTTCTCCAGTCTCCTCTCATATCTGGGCTTTGTTCTGCTCAATCAACATCCTGGTGAGCCGTCCATTTCTTGCCATACTTGATGAGAGGCTTTGGAGCCTTCCGGCGACACTGGTTGTAGAGCCATTCCTTGTAGGTCTGTTGTCCGAAATAAATAGCTAGAGCATGTATATATGTACACTGGCACATACCTTTTTCCGGCTTTTGAGCATGGCTTTGTCACTGAGTGGGAGCTTGGAGGCAAGCTTCCCTGTGGATGGCATTCAATACATTCTGTCTCTGTTTACCTTTCACAGTCCTCCAGTCCTCGAGGTGGGTCTTGAGGACCGCAATTTCCACCTTGATCAAGGGAAGCTTTGTCTGCTGGGGGACAATGACAGGGGATTCACTCCGAGCCATTTTGTGAGATGGTTGATGGTCTGAATGGTGGGATATTGAAAATTGTAGGTTCCCATGACCCTTACTCGGATCCCTCGGTTCCTATGACATTTCATCTTATGTACATATAGCTACATGATAACTGTCAACACAATGCATCAGCCTGCTATTCACATACCATTGGCTTTAGCACATGAGGGGCTCTAAAGTGCAGGAGTGGACTCCTACCAGCAATATTCATCTGGTGGAATGGAAGAAAAACAGTTCGGACCAGGAAAGCAACAGGGAAATGGGTAGAGAGACCCAAGATTCGAAAAATTCAATCAGTTCCGGCCACCCCTACCAAGTCATCATCGAAGCAGTGGCCATCCGAGGATATGCTATTTCTCGGTGGAGATGATTGGGTCGGCGACCTCAACCAGCAGGATTTCATACCCCTGCCACTACCAACATCCATGGTAAGCCCTGCCCGGCAGCCATAGGATCTCGTTCTGTCCCTCACTCAGCTTGTTTCAAGAGTCAGAATGACTATCTTCGGCAATGGGTCCCAAGGACCAATAGATATCTCAGCATACTCCTTGAGCGAGAAGCTCCTGCTGACCGGTCTTGCATCATTTGTGGGTCCGATGGTGTCTACAAATGTCACAACTGCTTCGGTGAGCCTCTATTTTGCACAAATTGTTGCAGGACAGGAGCACCAGAGGCTGCCCTTCCATCGGATCAGTCAATGGACCGGTGGTTTCTTCAAGGACTGTTGCCTGGTGAAGACTGGTCTAGTGATTTCACTCAGGGCACGGCGGAAATCCTTGCCCATGCCAAGACTATGGGGTCGATGATGCTGATGAAGGATTTTTTGCTGCCGCCGACACCGACACCGACACCGACACCGAGCATGCGACGACACCAACCGCCAATGCGTCAAAGAACAATCACGATCTGCCTACTGGAGTGCCATTCATAAAGAATGACAAGACCATGACGACAATAGTGGACAAGTCTGGAGTACACACTCACATCATCAAGTATTGCATGTGTGCCGATGCTCCAAGCGCCGACCTACAGCTGTTTCGATTAGGCTTGTTTCCTGCATCCTTTACCCAACCAAAGACCGCTTTCACTTTTGATGTATTGGACGACTTCTTACTGGATAATTTGGAGTGCGGCACGTCGGCGATGAATTATTACAGTAAGTTGAGGAGGATGACAACCAATGTTTTTCCGCATTTGGTGCCGGTGAGAGCATTCATCCATCAGCAGCCTTGTAAAGTTAACAATTCGGCAGGACCTGCTACCGGGAGCTCATGAGGGTGGCCAGGCAGTGGCGGCAACTGAAGCTGTTGAAATGGAATGGCTTCGGCCACGAGGAAAAAGACGTTGAACCCGGCGATCTCGCTCTCTTCTGCCCTGGCATGTCCCCAGCCGGGAATTAATGTGACATTGCCGACTGAAGAACGTGCGGCGGAGATCAACAGAGAATCAGATCTGGAGACGCCGAGTTGGCTCTATTCAAGATCGCTGGTCATGGATGGCAACTTCAAAGCAGAGCATATGCATGCGGCGAATCCCATTGATGAAGTCCCCCTCATGGATGGACGCGGTTTCATGGTCGGCGATGGCAAATACAAGGCGCATCTGGCACTGGCAAAGGACGCCGTTCAACGGTCCGAGTGCAACAATCACTGCGCAGTGAATCAAGCCAATGCATCCCGTCACAGACTGGAGGCAACTGGCATTGGCGGATGTGCCTGTGCAAGGCATGGCTGCTTCGTCCCGCATGCAATGGTGGATTTTCAGAAGGGAGAAAGGTACGCAATTAGTGTATCTATGGCTTGAGAGCCTCACTGACGCTCACCAGGCAGATGAACATGGACTATGCTTTGTGTGAGGCATTGAAACACAATGCCAGGCGGCATCCGGCGCGCACTGACATTTTATGATGTTAATTGCCAGTACAATAAGTATCTAAAGGATCGGGTAGCTGACAGCCCCTATTTGCAAATTCAAGAGCAGATGGAGATAATCCCGGGGATAGGTCTATGGCATGTTCATGGCCACCAAGACAGCTGCTATGTTCGCTATGCTTCTAACTTTATCGCCGGCGCCACCAGAATTGACGGCGAGATCATGGAGACCCTTTGGGCGCCGTTGAACATAATCTCTCCTTCGGCACGGGGGATGGGGACCCCTCACCGCAAGGAGTGCCTGGATTACCAAATGAATGATTGCAATTTCATGAAAATGATCAGGATGAGTGGGTGCTCCGTTGGTCCTCAATCAATTTGCTCACCGGATCATGCAGGCAAGGCCCTTTGCCGGAAATTCAGGCAAGCTGTGAAAGGGCTCGCCAACAGTAGGGAAGCCTTTGAAAAGCTGGATCAGAGTGCCGATGAAAACAATGTCAGGGACTGGGGGGAACAGGAGAGGCTGGCACAGGAACAGGCGTAGCACTGATCCAAAGGCAATGGACATTTATGAAGTCCAACTGCAGAAAGGTATGAGCCGATGATATCGCCAAAATCAAGGCTGATGGCAAGATAGCTCCGACCAGGAAAGAACAGGAATTGAGGTTGCTGGAGGAAAATGGCCAGCAACCTGCTCCTGCCCGCCGGAGGGGAGCGGCAACATGGCTGGCAGAAGGGCTTTCCATCGAGGAGGCACAGGTGACTCTCCACATGGACGTTAGGAGGCTAGGGCGGCGTCCGACAGAGAACCAATGACTGGAGATCGGGCGGCGTTGTGAGAGACTGCAAGGAGACATTGACCATTGGTCGGTGACATTCATCGGCGACGGGTTTGGTGATGCCGACCTCCACATGATGGAGCACGAGCTGCTGATCCTTCAAGAAGACTCAGATGATGAAACAGCTGATTAATTCAGACTGTTTGAGCCAGAAAAGGTTGTAATACCATTGCCATCCAATTTGGGCCAGGGGAGATGTGCCGAGCTCGGCACCGCGGATATGATCCATCAAGAACATGTCCTCCGCGAAGGACAGGCCAATGACGCCTTGCACAACATCAGAGTGCACTTGGCAGACAAGGCGGTCATCTTCCGAAAGACAGTCAGAACAGCAAAGTCGCAAGCAAAGTCCACCAGAGCTTGGGCCCAGATCCATGCAGTGGACCAGGTGGTAAGCATCAACACAAGCGTCTATTCCAAGTGCCGGTCTCAACTCGGCAAACTCGGCGCCGCCGACATTTTGCTGAACAGATACCAGCCATTGCTTAAAAAACATCTCCAGGTTAGCACCGCTGTCACCGATCCCAATGCCAGAGGCCAGAGAAACTCCATGTTGGCTTGGTTCTGGTCTATGGATGTGGAGGGAGACTCTGATAGCAGTGATTGGTTGAATGAATGTGAGGTCTTCACATGTCCTTCGCAGGGCGCTGCTGATCCTGCCGACAATCTTCAGTTTACTGGGTGCATTGGCTCCATGCCAAGGCTCTAAGAGACAGGTGGGAGGAGGAAATGCTACTTGTGCAGCATGAAATGAATTGGACATGCAACTTCTTCTTGCACAAAGCTGAGCAATGGATCCTTCTGGCTACCATCTCAAAAGCCGCCGACAAGGTGGGACACCTTGCCTATGCGGCACGGCAGTGCAAAATGTATCAGCGCCTGTATGAGGATTCCCAGGATGCATTTGAAGTTGCAAAGGCAGCCTGGAACCCAATGCATATTATGCCGGCGGTCTTATAGTAGACTTCAGATTGATACCGCTGACATCCATGTAGCAATAAATGATCAAATTCAAGTGGTTGCCGCTGGCATCAATCAATGGTTGAACACTGACTTTCTATAGTGTAGTCTAATGATCCTAGGGCTAATCTTGTATGTAAAGTTATTGTAGGTAATTTAATCTTGTTCCACTTTCAAATATTTCACTAGGAGTTCAGTGGCGGCGATGGCATCGCGTACATCTTCACCCAATGTGGTCTCCATTCTCATCAAGGAGGCAGCTACAAGCCTTGCCTCCACTACCTTGTTCTCCAACATCGTGATGATGTGCGCCCTTCCTTGTGTGACCCCAGCTTGAATGGTGGCCAATTGCTGTGCCACCGGCGTTGATCTTGCCTGCACCAATGTTGCCGGGGTTATCAACATGCGGCCTTCTGGCTAGATTGCACTGTAAGGCAGCGGCATAGTTGAAATGAGGATTACTTACCAATTGCTCAAAGTGGTCTGCGACCATCTGCACGACTTGCTTCCAACCAGGGTACCGGGACGTGAAAGTCCTGTAGTCTACCGCATCGAAAGCGGTGTTCCACCAGTCCATGGGATATGTGTTGACAACCCGACCTGTGACCCAGGCGCTGGAGGGCTCCACTGGCAACTTCATAAAGTTGTCATAGAGCTCTCGGTAGGTCAGGAGCTCCATTGAGCTCATGCCAAGGATCCCGATGAACCATCGGAGGTTGCGGGACAAGGGAGGGCAGATGCTCAACCCTTCGCAATAAGCGACCCAAGGCAAGAAAAAAACCTGACCGGTGATTGATAAACTTAGATGGATAAAACAAGAATTTGAAGACTTACCTCGCCCTCCCACATGAGGTACTTGCTAATAATTAGGACCGTCGCCGATGACGGCGTGGTGTTCTCCAGGGATCGGCGTATAGCCAGCAAGCGGGACCCGGCGAATTCAAATATGTTTGCCATGTCGGCGAGATCGAAAGTGGGATGCTCGCCGGTGCTACTGTCGCCGGTCGAAGAGTCACCAGTTGGACTTAAGCACTCGGTGGCACCGGTGATGTTGGACATGATTGGATATTTGGAATATGATGATTGGTGAACGGGAATTTATATTGTTTGCTGTAATCGGAACATACCGAAGTGAATTGCGGATCATGCCGAAATTGTGATTTGCAGATTTCCATTGTGCATTAGCCCGATATGGAAATTTATTGCATGTGTGACATAATCAGCCGCCACATTAGTTCACGTTGGACTTGTATTTCTTCATCATCGCAGTTCATCGCCACCCCTCATCTTAACACCATTACCACCATTATCACCATGACCGCCGTAGTTAACTGGGCCACTAACAAAGCCAATGCTGGTTTCCTCAATGCAGCCAACAAGGTTGAACATCTTCTGGGGCAGGCTCTCCAATTGAAGCCTGCCGATCCCAAACACATCGCAATTGCGATGGAGATGGCCGCATCTCTTGTAAGTCTTGTTACTTTTAAGTTTCAAATTCTCTAATCTTCGTAGAGTTTTACCTTCAGCAGCTACGCCTATTCGGCAACCTCTGTGCCACCCATGGTGCTCTCTGCCACCGCAGAGATTCATGAGCACCTGGACGACTCCTCCTGCAATGTTGTCAGTGCCCCGGTCTGGTCCAACATTTGCCCAGACGATCCGCGGAGCCAGCATAGCCCGCTTTACCCCCTCACTCTTGCCTATGGCAAACCCCCACCACCCACCAATCCTCCTGTTGCCGGTCCATCTGGATCCAACACCACAGTCACCCAGGATGCCAATGTCCTTGCGGGCAAGGGCAAAGGCAAGGCAAGGGGAGATCCTGAGGCCAAACCAACAGAACAGCGCGGCCGCGGTATGGAACGCAAGCGACTCCGGTGCATGAGCGCCCCCCGCAGTCAGAGTCGCGCGCCGAAGGCAAAACGGCCGCGTGCCACCTCCAAGGCCATGATCACCAGCGAGGACGAACGGGAGTTGGACATGTCCGACATTCCCCAACAGCAACCGGCGCCGGAGGCCAGGAAGCAGGTAAGTATTCCTTGTTGACTTTGTATATGTGATTTAACCTCCCCAGCAGGCATCCTTGCCCACCAGACTTCCTCCCGCCCTCAAGAAGACCCGGTCACAAAGCAAGTCGTTCACCGTCACCAGCGACGATGAGGAGGATGCCGAGCCGACGCCCAAACCTCCACTGAAGAAGAAGAAGACGTATGTGGAGATTGACGATGAGATGATGGCGAACATTGGCCCGGCGCCGAAGATGGGCACACCATATGTTCAGGTTCCAGTAAGTGTTTCCTCCCATCTGGCATTCACCTTCTAATGATATGAAATGTAGCCCGCACCATCGGCTATCGCCAGCAATGACGCCGCCGATCCCAACACATGGTCGCCAGGTTGCGGCCCCTGCGTCCACCGAGGGCTTATATGCCTCCAAGGCTACAACAACTCCGGTGCGGCGCTGACCGTATGTGAAGCCTGCCACCGCCTCAAGCATAAGTGCGGTGGTAATGGTTCCGCCGTTCCTACCACCAAAGCAAAGAAACCGGCGGCGACCACAACTCGGCGGGGGCGTTCAAAATCTCGCTGCCGAGCATCACCGGTGCATGTCTCTCCAGAGACAGGTGAGTACTCAGTTTTATTTTTATTTTTATCTAAAACTAGATGATTCAGCCACTCCAGCAGCAGCATCTACATCTGGTGCACCTGCACCGGTTGTTGCTACCACCGCCACTCCCACTCCCACTTCCACTCCCATTCCCATTCCTACTCCCACTCCCACCACCACTCCCATCACCGCTCCTGCCACCGCTGCCGCCCCCACCGCCGCCTCCACTCCTGATGGGCCAGCAGATGCATCTGTTGTTGCCCTGAAGGAGCAAATCGAGGCGTTACAATCCACTGTTGCCTCATTGGAGGCAAAGGCCAGCATCGGGGAGAAGCGTCTCCTGGAAGCCAATCAGAGATTGGCCAACCAGGAGGCAACTTCAAAACTCCTCACCGAGCAATTCGAAGAACTTCACCGGCAGTTGCTCCCTCCCCCAGTCCCTGCATCTCCTGTCACGGCGTGCCTGCCAGTTATTATCAGCAACCTCAGCAGCAACAACAAGAATATTGGCGCGGCAGAAGATGGAACTGAGCCCGCGTCTGGAGCTATTGCCGAGGCTGAAGAAGTAGCTGAGTCCGCGTCTGGTGTTGTTGCCAGGCCTTAGCAGCAACAACATGGATGTTGCAGAGGCTCCAGCCGAGTCTGCCCCCACATCTGGTATCAATGCCGGCCTCAGCGGCAACACCAATGATGTTGCAGAGGCTGAGTCTGCATCTATTGCATCTTCCGCTCAGGAGTGAAATGTGTATTGGACATACTTTGTATTACTTTACTTTGAATTAGACTCTGTACTATAGATACATGGCTTCAATAAGCCTGTTACATATGACCCTTATGATAATGACCCTTTATGACAATGACTTTTCTTTTTCCCCCTACATGTGTATGCCGGTCAGAAATCCGGTCCTCAATGAATACTTTTGCCTGATTGCATTTGCCGCCGCTGGCATTGAATGATAATATGGACAGCTTTACCGGTGAAGGGCCCTCGCACCGGTAACCAGCTCACTAGTGGAATAGATATAGGTACCGGCAAGAGCGAGATACTTCTGCCAGGGAGATGTATGTACTGCCGGTGCTTGTTCTAACTGCAGTATTGCCCGCGGTGTCGCCGGTGACAGTGGTGTTGCCGGCAACCGAACATTGCGCCAGTGAGATACTGGTGGAATGGGAATGGAGGTGTTGGCGAGACATGACGCATCTGGTTATGTATCAACTCGTTGCATCAGCAACTTCAACATTGGCAACATCTAGACCCAGAATGCCTGAAGTGTCGCCGAGATGCAAAGCAGCATTTGGCATGGCTGAATGTATACTTGCCTGATGGGCCTAATGTTATGGCGCCGCCATTCATTCCTCAATTGTCGGTGGTCAATCCCCATATGCATTCCATCACTGGTAACACCCGCCGATGTTACTGGACCCTCACCAACAATCATTCCCAATATATATTTGCCGATCCACCAGCCGATGCAGGTAGATCATCGCCGGCAATCATTCCCAATATTTATTTGTGTATCCTACTTCCCAGCACACACTCACCGATGTTATTGGACCATTGCCGTATATCATACATTCCCTGATACGTCTCCTAGGATCCCCTCACCGGAGCTAATGGGCCGCATTCCAAATGCCCATTTATTGCCGACCCCATTTCCCGGCGTACTGCCGCCGATACATATCGATCCAGCCGATGCAAACAGACCATCGCCGGCAATCATTCCCGATATCTATACCAGCATCTTAATTCCTGGAATACAATCGCCGATGGTAATGGACCATTTGCCGGACCTCATACCTGACATCCATTCCCCGATACTACTTTCCAGGATCCCCTCGCCGAAGCTAATGGGCCGCATTCCAAATGCCCATTTTTTTCGCCGACCCCATTTCCCGGCAGTGCTGCCACCGATACTTATGGACCATGGGCCCACCCGACAGTCGTGAGGACTCAATTATGTAGGCCCACCCCTCAATACACATACATTAATTCTGATACCCATGGGCCCACTCCAAAGCATCGAGCACATTCTACTATGGGCCCAGCCCTAACAGTCGGCGGTACTTATGGACTGTGGGCCCACCCGAGGGTGATGAGGACTCAATATTGTAGGCCCACCCCTCAATACACATCTATTAATTCTGACACCCATGGGCCCACTCCAAAGCATTGAGCCCATTCTACTGTGGGCCCACCCCTAACGGTCAGTAACAATGCAACCACGGGCCCACCCATCAACATCAGACGACAATCTAATGTGGGCCCATGGTGGGCTGGCCGAGTCTATAGGGTCAAGTCACTGAAGGGGCTCATATCCCTACCATCCGACCCTATCTGGAGCTCCGCTTCTCCACTCTGTTGGTCCGACCAATCCTACTCCTACTCCCTCCACCATCTCCGCTTTTCCAACCCACTCGGTTCCTTCAGTTCCTCTCGTGTTGCTCCATCCGACGATTGGTCCGCCTCACTGGTCCACTCCTAGACTAGGAACCACTCAACTGGTTCTATCTCCTTTTATTATCATAGTTCATCTTTTCGGATCACCGGTAATCTCCATACCCAAGTGATTATTGATCTGTCGCGTACACACTATTCTCTGAGTCCCTTTCTCGTATGTCTCAGTCATCTTTCTAATAATTCTGTACACTCAGCACATAGCCTTTTGCTATGCTATGCTACCTGCTTAGAGTATATAAACATATGTACAATTGTCGGTAGATCTTCAGTCTGAATATTACCTTTTCTAAGCCCTAATCTCTTGTCCTTATTCTTGGGAAAACCCCTTGACAACTCCTGTTTGCCAGCCTAGGGGATTGACTCCCTAGGTCGGCCGCCCTCTCCGCTCATCCAACTTCCCGCGCCTCCGCCGCCTTTCCCATGCATCGGACTTACAGCTAAAAACTCCCATACCTCTGTTCTCTGTGTTTTCATTCTGCTTCAGACTACGTCTGAGCAGTCTCCTCCGCTCCGCTCCTACTGTTAGCTCTGACTGCAGTAGCCCTCCGACTCCCTCCTGTTGGGTGGACCAACCTCCACCCAATGTTCCCGCACTTGTCTAGTAGTCCGTCAGCCCTCCTTCAGAGGACCTCCGCTCCAATGTACTGTTGGTGCTCATAAAACTTGAGTTGGACTACAATCCAAAATTAGGGGCATGTACTCGGGTAAGGGGCACAGCGTACGAGCTGAAGCCAAGCCCCTCAGACTCAGCCTTACCCCTGAGCATGGTCTTAACACAAGCCCTTCAAATGCCTCATGCTCCCCACCTGCATGACTGAGATCAAAAGCCTCTTCACCTGGAGGCGCTGTATGTGCGAAACATCTCCACTTCCATTCCAAAATCTGCCATCATATTCTTAACAATGCTTTGGTCCTCTGCTGACATCTCTAGTGCAAAATTAGCATTATAATAACAAAGAACATGCATATACCTTATATAGCAGCCTGATGGCTTGAATCTGCCTGTGCCATACACTGGCATTGTTTGCTGGCCATCAGGACTTTGGAACAGCAATGGCGCCCTCTGAAGTCATGGAATATGACAGATTTGGAGAGCCCTTTGACCCTCCCAACACCTGAGCTGCAAGGCATTGGCTGGGTTGGGACGATGGGCATGACAAGATAGAGGATGAGGATACAAGGCAAGGCAAGGTGAGTGCACAAGGCAAGGGAGGCAGCAAGAAGGAAGCAGAAAGAGGGAGGTAGCAAGAGGGAAGATGAGGAGGAGGGGAATGGCGGGGATGATGAGCATGAGGAGGAGGAGGTATAGGAAGCATGGGAAGTCCCTTGGTTTGAATTGGATTAAAATGAACAGATAACCCAATTCCCGCCAGGCAGGATGCTTGCCGAACAGGCCCATGCACCCGTCTCCACCATAGTGAGGTAGATACAGTATTTCTTGAAGGTATTTCAGAGAGCTGGGGCACTATTTAACAAATCCAAGCCTAATTAAAGTTGGTGAGACACGTCACTACCAAGTATATTTAGGCTTATTAATAGGGCAACCCAGGTGATGATGTGATGTGTGATGTGTCACAATAGTCGGTAATGTTTCTTTTTTGAGCAAGAATTTCAGCACATTATTTCAGAGTATCTTTTCAGCACAAAATTCAGAGTATAGAGCTGGGGGACTCGGTCACTTTTTATTGAAGTCGCAGAATACAAAGGATTACAGTCGGGGGCTTGAAGAGATGGAAGAGAGACTAGCTAGTGGATAGAAAAGTTCAGGGAGAGATGACGGGAGATGGAGGCTCAATAAAGATGCTAAAGGGCTAATTCTTTTTTTTTTCTCAAGCAAGCAAGTGAGTCGTCCAAGACTGCGAGATACAAATACAGGTGCGAGAACTGTGACAAAGGAGAATGAGACAAGGACTGATGACATCTAGACGATGTCACCTTTTTTATGGTGCATGAGCTGTGCTGTGCATAAGTGCATGCAATAAGAACGGGTGTTGTCGAATATACTTGTTAAATTCGTCTGAAGACCATTGTCCTGCAGCACAAATGAGATCAGGAGCCATTCCTGCAGCAGCAAGAGCCATGGCACCACCTGCTCTCAAGGAATGACCTGAAAAATCCGCTCCACAAAACCAGTGAAGACATCGAAGGAACCAAGCGCAGGTGGGCACAGTCCCCATGCTTGTTACCCAAAGAGCAGGATGGTGTGGGAATGAATAATCGCACACTGCAAGATAGCGCTGCATGTGTTTCAATGAATCAATCAGTGATTGTGGTTCCACGCAGATAAGGATGTTGAATCTGGTTCCGAGACTGTCATTCGTTTGGTAGGGAAGGAGATAAGATATCAACGTGGTTGTGGAATGCAGCATGTGGCGGAGTGAAACTTACCTGTAAGTTTGTAGTTTAGCAGAGTCTGGCCAAACAAGTTCACCAAGACACTGCAGGCTTTTAAAGCCAGTGATGAGCATTGCGAGGAAAAGTGAATCATCATAGGATGGCTGAGGTCCAAGGGTGTGTACTATTCGAGTGAGGTCATCAAGACTAATAGGTAGCTTTCAACGAACAGGTTTCAATAGCTGACATTTGCAACCCTGCAACATACAAGTGACGAGAGGTGAACAGCATGCTGCTCGTACCTCAGGGAACATGAATTCAAGTCTGTTGGCAATCCCAGAAAGATAGTTGTCAACAGAGCAGGGTTCAATGTGATGTGAAAGCCAAACAATATAGTATGACAATGTGTCTTGAGTGGGATTGATGATGCAATGGTGAAGTTGGCAAAATTTAATATGGAATTAAGGTGGGAGTCATAAGCAGAGGACGTTAATGATTCAATAGCTAATCCGAGAGCAATCAAGTGCTCATGAAAGAGACACTTGTCTGTCCAGGCCTCCCTGATGGGCTGCTGGACATTGATGACATTGGGATCATTTTTCTGCTACCCCCAGCACATCTCGAGGGGGTTTAAAGTCATAAATCCACGCATTAGGTGCACATTCATTTTCACACCCGCTCATTTTGGAAATGTGACAGTGCATCAGCCACAATGTTCTCACTACCACTGATGTGTTCAACATGTAGGTCAACACAATGCTTTATGAGTACGTCAACCGTGGACATGAGGATGGTGTTATAGGGAGGATGAGCACGTAGTGTGTTGAACGTTGCAACAACATTAGTGTTGTCTGTGTAAATAAGCATCCTCAGGGGAACCTTGGGCATGTGCTGTATGGCATGAATTGCTGAACAGACCACCAAGGCTTCGGTAAAAAAGATGGTGTCATTTGGGCCATCTTTGGGGAGAGCACATTGGCATGTGAAGTCCTCATCAGGAAACCAGAGACCTAGTCCAACACCTGATGCATCAGTGTAGGCAACAACATCATCATGGGATTGTGGACTGAAGTCCAGAGATTTGTAGAAGAGTAGCCCAGGCGAGTGATCCACATGGTCCGGCATCCACCAAAGTTCATGAATGATGGCATTATTACCATGAAGATGCGCAAGCAGCTGTGTCTTCCCACAGATTTTCTCATATACAGCTGACAGCCCAGGCTTGAGCAAGGGGAACACATTAAAACTCCACTCACACCAGCCAGCAAGCTGCTGAAATTCATGGAGAGACCATTGATAGCCCTTCCCAGCAAAATTCCACAAATGCATCACAAGTTCCTTCCTCTTGTGATCAGGGAGGGTTGCTGACATAGCATTAGGGTCAACGTCAAAACCTATGATGGTGAGTGGTGAGCTGAACAGTTGCTTCAGTCGCTTGTGCGGCAAACCAATTTCGTCCCACAATTGAAGCAAACTTGTTTGCTTCGATGGGAAAGAGCATTGATATGGGGGGTAGTAGAGCTGCTGTGAAGCAAGCTCAAAGGAGAATGAATCGTCCATGTACATTTTTAGTGCCTCAATAAGGATCCGATGTATCGTGATCCAGGCCACCAGTGACATAAATGAGATCCAGACCTTTGGGGAGCTGCGCCCACCAAAATTATTATTACAATCAACATGTTGCTGCCCATTGACAGTCAATACTTGCTTAGCCTGCCAGAGAGGGTGCATTGGTAGCCTCTGGAAGGCTTGTGAGACGTCAGATTTGAACATGGTGAGCTCTGCATCAGGATGTTGCTCCTGAAAACGAAGGAGTGAGGCACCAAGGGAGTGAAGTCCATCAAGCTTCAAATCCTTGATGGCATCAGAATCAATCAATGAATTAAGCGAAAAGTCACCCACTGTGTGATCTCCAACAAGTTGCAACTTGTCTGAGTTGGGTTTAGGCACAGTGTGCATCAGCACACTATACATTCCAGGCAGTAGCTCCGTGCCAAAATTTTGAGAGACACACCCCAAGCATATCTCTTCTTCAAGCTGAGATTCAATGAAAGCCAACTGCTCATCCGTTTTGTGGCAGGTGTGCATTGAGTTGTCATTGATTGAAAGGTAGGTGTCATGAGGAACATCCACCCAAGGCCAAAAGCCTTCACATAAAGCCCAACACACTGAAATAATGAACGGCTGGTCAGGATGCTCAGCTAGCAGCGCTTGGAAATGGTCAACATTGATAGGGCAAATGATCTTGAACAAGCCTGGTCTGCTGGTGACAGTGTGAGCTGTGTCACTGTCTGTGAGAGCTTCTGGCATGTCAGGGACAGGATCTGAATATTCTGAGGAGCAAGCAGTGGGACTGAAGCTAGCATCCAATGGTGACCAAATCAGACCGCGGTGATGTTGAGGATGCTTCAATGGTCCCTCAAGTTGATTTGGACTTTGAGTCCTTGAGATGTGTCATTTTAATGTGGTGGCATCCACAGACACAACCATTGTGCTCGAATGAGCAGATGTGTGTGTATTGGCAAGAGGCTGCACTGCGGGTACACTTGCCAGAATTCCACTTGCAACATGGGTCATGTTGTTATGGTTTTCTGTGACACCTTTCATTTTCCTCTTCACCCTTTCACATCTTCACCTCTTCACATTGACACCATGTCACAGTGTCACCATTTCCTGATATCACCCTATCTAGGGTTACTCTCCAACTTCACCTTATTACAGGTGCACACCCCTATTCATAGATCTGAGATCAATCTCAATCTATCCTCGGCAAGTCCTTGGATATTACTTACATGCTGATACCTAGTGTATTCTCATAGACCCTCAAACATGCATACACCATGTGTATTCCCATGGACACTTATCTATACTTATATGGACACTTATCTATACTTATATGGACATATTACTTACTTACCCTAGACCCTGGACCCTGACTTACTATCATATATAAGCAGGTCATAGTCTCGATGATTCCACATCTTGACCTACGCTGGAATTACCCAGATACATCCTCAGACTACTAGTTAGACACTAGTGAATCCACCTTGATTCCTTTGACTTCTCTAGAGTGCCACCTCTAGTAGATTGATTGACTTGAAACCTCTTCTGATTACCATCAGTGTAACACATGTTTGTTGGAAGCATTGGTGCTGGACGAGCTTCCAGAGCTGGGCTTTGGATCTGTGGGATCATTTCACTGTCTCCCATCCGTGTTGAAATGCAAGAAAATACGGTCTTCGAACTTGCAGAAGTCAGTGAGCTCAAGTCTCTGTGAAGATCCGACTCTGTTCCTAACGGCTTTATCGAAGCAAATAACTCTTCTGTGGGCTGATGCATTAGCTTGCGAGAAGTACTTGGAGATAAAGGCAAAGTATCCATTGAGCTCAGCCTCTCAGTGAGGGAAGGCAAACTTGACAGCATCAGCTGCTTTTTTCCATGCTGCATACCAGTCGGAGTCAGTGGTGATCTTCTTGGATGTCGCCTCTGAAACTCCATACTTGATTTCCATTCCTCCAAGGATTTCGGTTTGCTTGTCAACCGTGCAAGAAGAGGTAATGATGATGTGGATGACATTGAGGTTGATACACTCGCCTGCAACAATTTCCGTCCATCCACTCTTGTGGAATTCAGGTCCAAACTTGTGATACATGAGGTATCACTGTACCTCCTTTGGGTCTTGTGACCAATTTCTGAGGATCTCATTGGTTCGTTCAAGGTTAGGTGAGAGTGGTTGGTAATTCCTGCACTTAACTGTGGTGTCAATAGATGAGAAATCAAGCTTGGATCGTTTGTGAGCAGGTTCTCCTGGCTCAACAGATCCTGCTCTACTCCTATCCTCTGGGAAAGGGGCTTCTTTGTCAACATGCGCTGGTTCATCCAAGTGTGTTGTTTGTCCCCTCATTGGACTATCAGTGGCTCATGCAAGTTCTGACTCAACTTTGTCGAGCATGGCAAGGTAGGGTGCAGTGACAGTTGAAACCCATCCTGGTGTATCAAATAATTCTACCAAGATGGCTTCGACAAGTGAGACAATTGCCTCAAGTTTGGTGAGACACAAGCATTTGTAGTCATCAACTATGGCAAGGCAGGCTGTCACCAAACATTGTTGGGATAAATCCAATCCATTAGAGTTGGTCTGGGATGAATTCCCCGCCATTCCTGGTCCTGTAAGCGATCTTGAAGGCTGTGTTTGGGACAATGAGGAGGCATTGTTTGCTTCAGCAGACATGTATGATATGAAGAATGATCAATTGAAGATTTAAAGTTATAGCTTAAAATGCAGATCAGTGCACCAGCAGATGGTGCTTTGTGAGCGCAAGTGAGCAACAATGGAAGAATCCAGACTTGTCAGTTGTCAGCTATTAAAACCATCAATAGAGGGGCCTTGCATGTGTTTTAAGCCGCTGAGGCTGAGTCACGAAGTAGTATTTGACCGGCATCACAAATTGATTCAACTTGGTTAAACAAGTTAAACCACAATTAAAAAAAAGGAACTTTCAGCACCTCCATTTCAGCACCTCATACTGTGAATGTCAGGGCATTACAATCTGATTTTGCATACTGAATTTCATTGGATTCACTACCTACAGTGCGCATATTTGTCAATCTAAAGGTATGTGCAAACCTGGCACCTGCATGTACTATCTGGTACCTATTTTACTGATTCTATGTCATGGTATGTGATTATATGATAGTGTTACTTTTGTTGATGTATTAAAGAAGGCTCATGCTTATCTTTGTCTTACTATTGGTTACGGTCTATTCATGATGAGCCTCCATTTCGTGAGTCACACTTTTGGGCATGAAAATGTGATGGCTTGTCACATGGTGTAACGGTATGTCACGAAATTCACCGCGAAAAAGCGTGACTCACGAAATGACGGTCCATCATGAATAGATTGTAAGGGATAGTACTGCTGGTCCATGTCCCCTTCTTTAATTCACCTTCGCTTACTTCCAACCGTATATCAACAATAGAGTGTATTTGCAACGACAAGTTTACATGCAAGTGTGGAGCCTGTAACCTGCAAACAACGTCAGGATGTGAAATTTTTACTTGCATATGCCGTATGTTGACTGTATACATTGATACTAGGTAAACATGCGACGAAACCTTGAATTAGTACATCGAATCTGTACTGACTTATAATATTTGGAAGATGCAGTTGTACGGATCCCCAGTGGGTTGCTATCATCGAGTTGCGGTCTTGTTGACCAATGCTATGAACTGAGGTTTCACAATATCTTGACGGACCATGGTGAACCACCAGAACCCAAAGAATACTTTAACAACTAGGTATTTAGCTGTAGATACAGGATTGTGTATTAGCTATATTGGCAAACTATGCGAAAGCCGCGTTCAACTTCAATCTGTACTGCAGACATCCTCGAGTTAAAGTTATGCTCTTCTGGGTGCGAACACCAGCTCCAGAATATATGATGTTGAAAAGCTATCTGGGATTTGCAGAGCTTGCACTAAATCACAAAGCTTGAAAAAGGTGAAACTACAATGACATCATTTATATAATGTATTTCAAGACTAGAACGCAGACACTCTCTGTCTCGAAGATTCTGAAGCCACTCAATGATGATATGGTGGCCACCTTGTTCAGGCCTTTCTCGCTATGTATTTCACAGAACATGTGGTAACAGCAACATGATGTATGTAACCTGCCGAGATAAGCGTCTTGTTTGGCCAAGAGATTTTGATTTTGGGCGCTGCAAATACGCTCTAATATCTACCGTGAACTTCTTCTTCTTCCGCAACTTTCCAGCTGCACCACTGAGTTCTTCACTCGCATCCTCAAGCAACTGGAACAGATTGCGAGCCGAGTCGAGTTTACATGGGGGATTTGCCTTTGCATTAGTCGAAAACTTGTAGGCAATACTGAGATTCTCTAGGGAGGTCTCCATAGCATTCGCAATCTTGCGACGGAAGACGTCCCAGGATATATCGGACCTCACAGTCAAAGTGTCAAGGACACCATTGACTGGCAAGTGAACTCCGCCAGCGAACTGAGCCCAAGAATTGAGCAACCCTATTGCTGCTGGTACATATTCGCCGACTCACCCTCTCCTTTCCGACATTCCTTCCAGTAACTTCTCATTCCTGGCCCCTGCTGGCTCGTCCCAGCATGTCGACGATTCAGACAGTTCTGCGGTTCGCTCGATCCGTGGCTTATACTTCCGTCGAGGTCGTACGTGGCATGTTGAACGTATTGGGTATTCCTACAGTTCCTCTGGTGAGGGCAAGCCTCCAAGTACTTCTTGTCGGTGCCCTAAATGCGTCCTTCACGGCATCAGAATGGCCATCATCTTTGCAGCGAATTTCACCAGGTGATCCAAATACTGGTGTCACCGAGACAATGCTGACCATGGCCAGATACGGCAACCCCAACGCAGAATATCCCTATGTCTGGTACGATATCCCTTGTGCAGGGACGCTCAAGATCCTAGACTAGCAGTACTTCAACGCACAAGGACTCTACGTCTTTGACTGCATCATCATCTTGTTCGACAATCGCTTCACGATGACGGACATCGGCATCCTCACCAACTGCAAGCGTTTCAAGATCCCCACGTATATCGTCCGCTCTAAGGCGGACCAGCACATTCGTAACGTCATGAAGGATATGGGGTACGACAGCTGTGATGATGAGAACGAGGATCAAAAGGTGGTTATCTTCAATGCACCCTACCTTTTTGAAGTGGAGACGCGCGTGTTGGACAATGTTACCTATGTTATCCTCGACAGCCCCGTTTTCCACGCACAGACCAAGTTGGACCTGTACCCAGCTCGCTTGGACGATCTCAGTTCCGCCATTTTCTACTCTACTTGGAACCAGGCTATCGCAACTGCCATTCGCCGATTCCCTGTCATCGATATATACCACATCAATGACTACCGCAGTGGGCATCAGGCAACTGTAGGACGCCAGAGACGAGATCGGTGTGTCCTTGCATCTTTTGGCGAGGCTTTGTCGCTGATTTCTCTTGCTTTGCAGGGACTCGTGAAGACATGATTTTGGCTTGGGGACTTCACCTAATAGGAGCGGGACAATTTCAGCTCTTGCCCACCAAACGAACGCCATCACACACTCAGAGGTACTTGGTTTTACCTGTCTTCCTTGCTTTATCCTCGTGTTCGTTTGACAGCGCGCCTCATGATCACTCAAATAGCCCCTCTGCTTCTGCTTTTCTCTCTCCTTCGCTGTCCCCACTTGTGCGGCGCCATACAGCCCACCCACCTCCCATTCTCCTATTTTCACTAAGTGCTTTTCTGGTATCGCATCTCCTTCAGGCCCAAAGGTCTCTACCTGATTCTGACCAGATAGCGCTCCGAAGGGCTCTGTCTCTCATCCCGACCGTCCGCATCTTCTCTTCTAGACACATACTCTTTCCGGATTCCCTAGTTCTGGCTAATATTTGTCCTCTTCCCCGTCCCCGGCCTTAACGATCGTACAAAGGGCCGCCTCCTGCTGGTCATCCCCCACGAGCAAGAGTTTTACTTGAACGGCGACTCCATGACGTGATACTCAATGGTGACTACGATTGCGAGAGTCGTCCTTTTCGTGTCTCCTCTTCACACTTCAGCGCCAGTCTAATGAGTCGAGCATCTGTCCCAGCAGTGCTCAGGTAGCGAGGTAGGCGTCGATCTCAACAGCCCGCCATATGCTATCTATAACGGTGACACTCATTTGTTACATACCATGGGCTCGTTCTGACTCAGAATTCTCAGTGGGCGTATCCTTCAACCGCTAGTGAAAGCTCGGTACGTCGCTCATGCTTGTTTATGAAACTCATTTCTATTGAAACGCTGACTCTGATGCATCATTCGTCCAGGGCCGACGCCGTAGAAAAATCCGTCAGGTTTTGGGGAAGGTCTCGTTCCTATATCCTGCTGATCGGCTATCCGTGCAGATCAAGTGGATCGCGATGAAGCGATAGAAGGGGCGCGCTGATCCCTTATTGGAAGCTAAGAATAAGTATGAAATCGATGAATTGTCGGTCCGCTTTTTAGTGGATTTTCATCTTCCAGACTTACCGTAGAGCGCAGACTGATCATAGATACAACGCTCAGATTCATTCTATTATTCTTGCGCTCAGCCTTCATGTTGTAGTGCTCATCAAGGATCATCAGCCAGTGTGCTGCCATCTGAAGTATCTGGCCTCTGCTGCGCCTCTTCCGCATACGCTACCGCCAAAGGCCAAACGAGTTATACGTTTGATTTTTTAGAGCAGCAGGATATGTTTTTCTTACCTGATCAGTGAATTTCAGTGTCTCTGCAGCTGATTTGTACGACCTACCACGGGGAGCCTCTAACTACTTTGTAAGATCAGAACCCGAGTTGCTTTGAACCATACTCGGTCGGGATGCTCGGACAGTACCACCAGCTAGTGTACATGCGAGACGGTTATATGGCTGGTCTACTACATGCACTCGTCATCTCAGGTAAACATAAGTCTTGCAACATCCTTACATTTAAAGCCAAGACTGGTGAAACACTGCAAGGCTCGTACCAGGCTGGCGCTCCATTGCATGTCAGGCACCATATCATAACTGACCAGACTTAGTTGATCATGTAAGCTTTTGTTTTGTTGATGGTAAAAATCGACTCGATCTGCCGTCGTCATGTCTGTTTTACCGAAAAGTCTGGCGGGTTTCACTCTCATTCCAATTGCATACCCAAGTTCAACCCATTTCATCTATGCACGGGCTCACATCACCTCTAAATCCAAAATATCGAAACCCGGCAATATTTTCCCTGAAGGACGGACGTTATTCCTAGTGAACGTGCCTCCAGATGCGACAGAGCACGAGCTCGCACTGCTGTTCAAGCACTGCGGGACAGTAGAACGTGTCGCATTCGAATTCAGCTCTACCGATGCCCTGGAAGAGCACGCGTCTGATTCTGACGAGGAGATGGCCGAGGAAACTGAGGCGCGACCGCGAAAGAAACGAAAACTCCAGACCTCCGAGCCAACGCCCCCGGAAGTAGTACCCCTCCCCAACCTACCCCTTCGCACACTGCACAACACTGGGTCTCGTGCTCATCTCATTTTTATCGATTCTTCATCCCTTATGAAAGCGCTTTCGCCGCCTGCGTCATCCAGGCCGTGGCCATCATCGGTGGAGCCCCGCGGTCTCTCTCATTATATAGCAAAATATGATGCTGAGCGACCTTCGCTAGACGCTATCAAAGCCCACGCAGACAGCTTTATGGAACGCTTCGAATTTCACCTCGCGAAGAATAAACAAGAGACCAAGTACCGGAAAGGGGAAGCGATTGTGGATGAGGACGGGTTCACACTTGTCACTAGAGGAGGTGCATATGGACAAACGCTTGGCGGAGGTGTGGGCGTTGCGAGCAAGAAGTTCATGCTCGCTGGGAAGAGTGGAAGTAGACGAAAGACGGACAAAAAGAAGGAGAAGGACGCGTTTTATGGCTTCCAGAAGGCTGAAAAACAACGGAAAGGTGAGTGTGAAATCCTTTGTGACGAGGATATTGGTTCATGTCGCTGTAGCTATGCTCGATTTGAGGAGAAACTTCGAGGCAGACCGGGCGCGCGTAGAAAAACTGAAGGAATCGCGGCGGTTCAAGCCTTATTAAAACATTGTCTTCGCCATACCTTCGGTGAAGTGGTCTAGTATATTGCGAATGTAATCTAATGCAAGGCCGCCGAATGGTTACTACGTTTCGGGGGTGTGTACCGTCAGACGGTGCATGCTTTCAGATACTGAAGATGTTCCGAAGACTTTTTTCGACAGGCCGCCGACGCTTCCGCAATTAACTCCGAGTGATTCCTCGTTTCTGGATCACAATCGCAGGAGGCGGCGAGATATTCAATTATACCAAATCCATATAGATACGGCGGCGGATCGTTGTGCCTGATTTGACTGCGAGTTCCCAGGTCTAGCAACGATCATTTAAACGTTTATACGTTGATGGGATTGTGTGTGTATGTATTAACAATCTGGCAACCAGTGTTCTTATGCTCAGTGAGACGCTGCCTATTACCTTGGGACGTTGGGGTGCTGCGAGTACTGGTGACTCAAAAGGGCAGTCGGGTGCCGGGACCGCGGAGTAAATTTAGTTGTTGCATGCTTGCATGTCATACCGTACACGGTGGCCGCGATCCCAACGTTTAGCTCCCAGTGATGTATGTCGGAAAGGCGGGAAAAAGTAGATGCATCCTTACGCCGAGCAGGATATACTTTACCCACCGCTTTCCGGCCGATGAGGGAGGGATCTCCAGTCAGACAGCGTGCACAAACTTGAATTCAATGAGCAAATCCCAAATCAATTTGATATCCCTTTTTTATGTAGCCATTATGAAGTCTCTGCAAGTGTCGTACATGTACATCTTGATTTTGAATAGCCCTAGAATTGATACTTGGAAACAACCTCCCAGAAGCCCTTGCCTTGGAGGTTAGCGATTTCGAGCTCAAGTGCTGAAGGCTGGCGTGATCCATCAGCACCAGCGAAGGTGCCAGCACCCCAAGGAGAACCTGAGTAAAAGCAAAAATAAGCAACCCGCATGCACGGACGCGAGAGAATAAACATACCACCACGAACTTCGCTCACGTTGGAGAGCTGTGCAAATGTATTTTTGTAACCCAGGGGAACGAAGATCATTCCGTGGTGGGTGAGAGTGGAGAGGGAGCTAATGACTGTAGCTTCCTGTCCTCCACCTGGGGTGCCTGTAGAAACAAAGACACCGGCGAATTTGCCGGCCAATGCACCCTTGACCCACAATCCACCAGTAGCGTCCCAGAAAGCCTGGTGTGAGAGTAAGGCACGTAATTAGACATTTTGAAGAGACTCGACGGATCAGACAACATACTTTCCATTGGGCAGGGAAATTGCCATAACGGGTAGGGATACCAAAGATGAAGGCGTCAAAGTTGGTGAGTTCGCTTGGCGTGATGATAGGATAACTGAGTCTTGGGGGAGCGTGCATCTTTGCGAGGACCTCGTCTGACAATGTTTCAGCGATCCTGATTAGTCCGGTAAGTAAGGCGATTATTCAAATGGCTACGATTGAATACATACTGGTAAATGGTAGCGGCGCCCCCAGCAGCCTCGATACCACTCTTGACGGACTCAGCCACTGATAAGAGATAATCAGGAGAAGGTCGTTTCTCGATAGGTAATACTCACTCTTTGCGATATGGCCGTACATCGAGTAAATGATGATGGCGACTTTAGGAGATTCAGACATGGCTGCTAACAGTTGAGTTATGAGGAGGATATGAGAGAAAGGGACGATGAGGGGCTAGCAGGGGCTCTGGCTGGTATTTGTATTGTGGTGTCCTGCTTTATCATCGGTGGTGAAATGAAGTTGACGCTATGTCACTGAGTCAGCTTGATAGCGTTACGTATTGCAAAAAGCACCAAAGCAGGTTGTTTCGACACACACTTAAGTACTTACAACCAAAGGTGGATGGTTGAACTCACGCACGGCGTCTATGTCCGTCATTTCAAAGGCAACGCGAAGCGAGACAACGTTCGATATCATGGAACCAGACGACGCTGACTGGTACATTGTGCCTATCTCTTAGAAATCTCGAGAAATTTCATCTTTATTTGGAACTATGATGATTCACCGTTGTCAGAGTCTGGCCTCAACGTTTGTCTTGTTCGGATGACGGGTCGGCGTCCGTCACTAAACTGTCTTCCTATCTTCTGGGACTTCGGCACACACCGTGACAGATACAGGCGACCTAGCTGAACCAACCGCAGTCAATTGATCCAGACTCAAGCTCTTAGCCCAACACAGGTGATCATCGTACTACCCGGAACGACCAGGCTAGATTTTCTGTGGTGATACCTCGCGTGACAGGAATGAGTGGCCTCCCACACCGGACACACAGAGAGGGCGACTCATTCAAGCGAGTCTGAGACGCTATCATAGTTTGGTATGTATCTTGCCATATTCAGTGTAATATCATCCTGATATAGCAACATCTTCTTGGACACGTATGTATTATCATTTTCCGTTGAGTTCCGCAGGTGATGCAAGAAGAGGTCGGCATTCATATCATCATCGAATGGATTGTGCGATAGTACGGCCTCCAAACCAAGCTGCCTACCAGTGTCATATTAATTAAGGTATTAATCTTGATCATGTGGCCACAGAGATAAACACTCTCCATCTACTTCGCAGGCCATTTCCCCCCATCTCACGCTAGACACATCATTTTAAAGCTCACCTCAAGAACCCGTTATATCCTCGCAACTGAGAGCGCGTGCCTTGTCTACTAATACCTCGGAATGTGTTTCCCTGGAAAGCGACAAAAAGCTAACTTCGCCGAGACAAAACCCACACCTCCAGATACAAAAGCTCAACCGATTCAACCACCAGAGCAATCATCTTCTCCCCCCGTTCCTATTCCACTTTCCTCCACTTCCCAAATCGACATGTCTGCTCCTAGAGTCGCTATCGTCATCTACTCCCTTTACGGGCACATTACAAAGAGTACGTCTTTCCTCACCATATTACTACTTCATCGCTCAATACATCCTTCACAGTGGCTGAGGCCGTCAAAAGTGGTATCAGCAATGCTGGTGGTAGCGCCTCCATTTACCAGTCCGTCCATCTGCACTAGTCAGCTATGAGCGTACATTGACTTGCCTGCAGGATCCAGGAGACCCTATCTGACGACATCTTGAAGCTCGTCAAGGCTCCCGCTAAACCCGACTACCCCGTTCTCCTCCCTGACGACCTCGTCAACTTCGACGCGTTCCTCTTTGGTGTTCCCACCCGTTACGGTAACTTCCCCGTTCAGTGGAAGGTATGTTGCCTTGGTGTCTGTTTAAACCACTCGTCACCTTCATTAACACGCTAATATAGGCATTCTGGGACGCTACTGGTCCTCTCTGGAGCAAGAGCGCTCTTGCGGGCAAGATGTGTGGTGTGTTTGTTTCCACTGGTACCCAAGGTGGTGGTCAGGAGATTACCATCTCCAACACCCTCTCCACTTTCGTGCACCACGGTCTCATCTACGTTCCCCTCGGCTACAAGCACACTTTCCCTCAGTTGTCTAACCTGACTGAGATCCACGGTGGTAAGCACATCTCCTAAATGAACTATGCATTATTAATTTAACGATGTTCTATTCCCGAATAGGTTCTTCTTGGGGTGCGGGTACCTTTGCAGGCACGGACGGCTCCCGTCAGCCTTCGCCTCTTGAATTGGAGATTGCTTCTCTCCAGGGCAAGGGTTTCTGGGAGACCGTTGCCAAGTACCACGGCGGCGCCAAATCGTCTTGAATCTAAATGTATAATAGGGGCTCAGCTTGGATTGTATATAGCTTGCACACACATAAAAATAAACACTTTCGTGGTTGATTTTTCTCGAGCCTCGTGCGATGTGCCGCATCAGTGTGTTTGATAAATGACTTTCCTGATCATCATGGGTGTTTTATTCTGTTCTATCAGTCCGCATGGAATCAGATGATGATGCAGGAAGCCGCATCAGCGAGTCTGTTCCCATGGGTTAGAGGCGCGGGCCCCTAGTGCCCGATTAGTACAGCCAGAATTGCGCCCATACGCAATGGTGGCCTAAAATTACCCAAATCGAAAGACTGTAAGCGCGAGATATACTCCGATAAGTACCAGCGTGAACGAAGATCATCGCTGTGCGAGAGCTGTGCCAATTGTGACCAGCTTGCCTGTATCGTACATGCTTTCACAGGGAGGTCGGCGCTCTGAGTCTCATGCGGCCCCCAGGATGTGAAACATTGCGCTACCAGATAGGGTACCCTTCGGGGTGCTAAGCAACCTTATCCCGCCATATCTTTGGGCCCCGCGGCTCCCGATGCCAATACATGGATGATGGAGGAAGCTCCTCGTGGTTGCAGGCGGCCTCACCTCAACCTCACTCACGGCCTCCGCGTTCCAAATTGCAATATAACGATAGAAATTGAACACCGACTTTGTCTATTTGTGTATACGGAGCCGGACAATCGTGGCGCAGGTTACGGAGCGAAGCTCATTGATGACCAATTGTACAGAAAATGATGTTGAAGGAACAGATCAATGCAATGCGGTCTACTTTTGTATCTTCCATGGGTCTTTCATATCAGGGGAAAGTAATATCATCAGCCCAGTTACCTGAGTGTCGGTCTCCAAATGCACCATCTTCATCCATTGCTGGTCCCCAAGCCGCGTCGTCCTTGCTCTTGACGGCCTAAAAATGTCTATCAGCATCCGTCCACCAGCAATTCATTTCCAAAGTTAAAATTACGTGGTCGATGTGGAACGAAGCAGAAAATAGTATCCGGTGCCGACAAGACTCGCACACCGAGGACATACCTTTGTCAAATATTCCTTGTTCCTTTCCACCTCTTTCTCAAGCCTCATAAGGAGGGCGTCCTGCTGTTGCGCCTGTGCCAACACACGATCGACGTCCGATTTCTCGAAATTCACAGGTGGGTCCGAGAACGATACAGTCCCATCTGCAGACAGCTCTGCCGAGATTTCCGAACACTCGATCTAGCAAAAGCATCAGTAATTCGTGTAATCCGCGCGGGAAACATGTTTACCATGCTCAAGATCAGGGATTTCACTTCATTCTCGTCGGCAATTCCTACTTCTCGGCCAATGTCGGATAAGTGTAACGTCAGATAAGTGGTTGTGAGTTTCTTTATGGACCAACGGGGGGCGCGGTCGAGTGCCTGATTGATGAGACCAAAATTTCTTTCCTATACGGGTGGTTAACGATGCATAGTTTCATACGCTTTCAATATCGTACATTGACGAATAGTTGCTGCTCATTTTCAACTATCGCGCGAAGGTGGTCGCGTTGCAGAGGATACGCATTCATAAAACTTGAATAAGGAGTTGCCTTGAAGAGTCGCACAAGGATCGGGTGCATGTACTTGGATGGAGGTGATGTCTGATCAACCAGATTGCGTGAGCAAATCATTCACTCATGAAGGATAGACTCGCCTTTCCGCGGTATATCAACTGTACGAGGGCCAACTTCTTCAATGCTTCCATTTGAATAGCTGAAACCGCTGAGCCTGGACTTGATGCGCAGATCTCAAAAAGTTCTTCTGCATCTGACCAGTTCTTTAGCGCAGCGAGTACGATACCGCCGGCGTAGTGGTATACTAAGTTATCATGGTATGTTAAGTCGGAAAGTGAGAGGTCAATCGTAGTGATTGGATGAGACAGAACGGGGATCGCGACTGTGAAATGGCGAGTGGCCACGCAGGTCTGCAACAAATGCCGGCGAATCAGAAAACTGGAAGGTTATTACAGTTGGCAAACTCACCGTCATGAAAATAGGATGGATGGTGGTGAGATGTGAAAGGGTTGGAGGATATTTTGCAAGCAAATCGGATAGTGGCGAGATAGCGAGTTTGAGCTAAGAAAGTTGAGATCGAGGAGAGAACTGGTTCAAGGATGTCTTACATTCCCTTCAGCTTCAGCGAATTGCCGTATCCCAGTTGCAAGAAGTGTCACTGAATCTATATGATCTCACTGTATCAACACATAAGGAAGGATGTACTGACCTCGATCTGGAGCAAAGCGTGCATGTTCAGGAACAAAATCGCGGCAAAAACCTTCGACATGCTGCCACAAGGGCTTATCGGATGCAACAGTATGCAGTCGCGCAGACCTTCAGGAGATCAGTGTGCGTCCAGGAACTTTCCAATAAGACTCGCTTACAAAATGTAAAGCATGCCTAGCGTATGATCTCGCGCGTTTAACAGAGACAAAGGATCTTGGCTACCTGGCAAGATGCTGGACAGGAGGACTTCTCTGACATCTTTGGAGGCGCAACTCCTCAGATATTGGTTTAAGTGGGTAGGACTTGAAGCCGAGGTTATGGTCGTGATGATAGAGCCTAACGAGACATCACTCGCAGATTGACCAGCCGCGTTCGATGATGTATGTGCCGGGTTGGTACTTGACGTGCTGGATCCAGGTGGTGGAGTAGGAAGACCTGATTGATTCATGACGCGAAACTGTCACCACTGCATTAGTAGCTATTGTCAAAAGTGGTGAAATGGTTAGGCACCGACGATTATCTTGAAGATTTCCTTGGTGCGACCACCACAAATCAGATTGATCAGTTAATTTGAGACACGGATGACAGTATAATTAGTCGAAGAATGGTACTACTCCTGTGCACCGTTGGTACTATTCAGGGTAGAAGAATGAACTGAAGTCGACTCCTGATCATCCTAAAGTCTTACGTAATCGAAAGCGACGCGCTACTATTTCGTCCAAGTCACCAACATCGCGCTTGCTTGTCTTGGGTTCAATATTTCGTGCCTCCTTCCTCTAGGCATCTACCCAGAACATTGGAAACAGTCCTGACTACCCGAAAGCGTATAGATCCATCACGCTGTTGATCACGATACCAGTTAAGATCTTATCTTCTTGCGTAGCGGGCGATCTACTAACTTATGTTGCAGAGCACCATAACCTCCTTCCAGCCACACACTTCAACATCAATGTTGACCCAACGTTGACAATGTCACTATGTGTGTCGCTTCACGCAATGTAAAGATCAATACTTGTCAACAGAATGACCCAACGCAAACAAAACACCAGATCGTTGAACGCGACTTGAAATAATGTTTCGTTGCATTCTACGGAAGCCCCCACATTGCATGATTTCCCCATCTCTTCGCTTGTCTACGTCTCTGGCTCGTGATGTTAAAAGGCCTTTGGACGAACCGTCGGTCTGCGTGCAGATCAACGACAAAGAATGTGTGCAACGAAGAGCCACATATACTTTTTCCTGAGCACGGCTTTGGTTATTATCCAATTACCTTGGGACAGCAGTCGGGGTAGGGCAAGCTTGATATTGTGAGAAAACTTGGATGGGCCAGTTATTCCAGCGTCTGGCTCGCGCGCACCCTGGGGTGAGTACATTCCCTGGTACCTATTTAGCTTGTGTATGAACTCCGTGATTATTTCAGAAAAGTGTATCCTGCGAAATATGTTGCTGTCAAGGTTCTTACAGTCAACGCGACCGCAGGTGTGTTGAAGGGACTTCTAGGCGACGTGAACTCTCTTGAGATCATCAAAACCGCCAATCCTGATCACCCCGGCTACCAATATTGCATTGATATCTACGAAAGCCCTTAACTAACAACCCGGTCTTCAAGATGTGAAACCCGGCAACACCCTCATTTATGTAGATCACAAAGATGAAGCTATCACTCGCCTCCTTCAAGAAACACCATCCGCCACATATGAACCTCGTTTTTCTCCCGAAATTTCTGCCGATTCTATTATCAAAGTCAAGTCGCAGCCGCTCCTTAATTTCGGTCCTCGAGAAGACGCGAGCAACCTCGAGGTTTGATTGATTGATTATGGTCACAGTTAGTGATCTCGCATTTGAACGACGATTTCTCATGCATCCCATCAACAGCAATACCCGCCAAAGAGCACCTACCAGAACAGGTCCAACCCATTCTCCTCCGTGCGCCAGAAGTTATTCTTTGTCGCGCGTGGTCTACTCCCATCGACATTTGGTCCGTGAGGTACTTGGTGTGAGATATAATTTATCTTTGCATGCTGTCATCAATTGAAAGATGGCCACCCAGGTTTTCGAGCACCTAACTGGTGCAGCTTTGTTCAAACTCTGAGAGTCTTCTATGAGCATAGACGGTGTTCATCTCTAGCGGATCCTCGAACATATCGATCCTTTTTTACTCAGTTTCTTGAAAGGTTCCCAGCGCCAACCTGATTTCTTTGACGCACAAGGTAATGTATCATGCCTCCATCTATCCGCGAGCGGATATTACATTATTTTCAAACTATTACTCCGCATCCATAATCTGTTCCCTAGCGCAATCGAAAGTTGTCCCCGACCATATAATGTCATGGACGAGCAGGACATTTTCCCTGCTGCTGCCTTCATTCGGAGGTGTTTGACTATTGATCCCAACACACGACCTACCGCTTTGGAGCTACTAGATGACGAGTGGCCTAAGAACACGTGAGACGTAGCGGTGTGGACCTGTCGACGGTAGGGATACACAACGCCTTCTTACCGATGGCTGGTACATCTCCGTGACGATTCGATCATGTAATCGTGTTGGTTTGGGTTGTAAGTCAGCATATGATACCAATATGATGTAATACAAATGCTTGGAGAGTGGAATTGTTCTATGCAGGTACTATCGAGGTAAGAACGAAAGTGTATCAGAGACCCCGTTCTTCGAAATCCATTCAACTATAATATCTCTAGCAACATCATGTCATGAACAAAAGTCACGTCCTTGACCCGTGTCATGATAGTGTGATTCTCTTGTAACGCCCACCACACTGCTGCACTAGCAAAAGTGCGCCAGCGAACGACTAACATCAGAGCTCGTGAGTGACTCCAATCGACTGGCTCATATTCTTGAGGAGAGCCGTCCAGTAAATGATCTGGCGAAGATCATATCGAAGACCAAGTTTTCGCGGTCTTATCGTCCGCCAAGTCAGGCCAAAACGGATCACCAGTCTAGGCACCGGTATGTAGCCTCCCCTAGCAGACTAATCGAAGGAAGATAGTCGTTCCGTAAGGTACAGGCGTCCGCTGATCATTGTAACTTCACACCAAACAGTACTAGTTACGGAATTCAACCATGTTAACGTCCACACTTCACAATCTTCTTTCATAATCGCTCCTACAATGATCCTATAACCATGGCCCATGCGTCCCCGATCAAACACCAAGGCTGAAATAATACATGGCAAGAGCTCCAGTTCCCCAACGCTTAGCGTTTAGCACTTGCACTCTCCGGGCTTGCATTGGCAACTGCAAAAGAAGTGGTGAATTAGACTGACTTGTACCAAGGCAGTACGACTCACGAGTCACCGCAATTGCAGGTGGACGAGCCGCAGTTGTTCTGAGAAACAGGGACTTCGGTGACCTGCGAACGAAGTTCAATAATAAAAATGCGCTGCGGGGGGCAGGCTTACGGTGTACATAATGATATTGCGCTGGATGGGTTGATGTGTTCAAGGTTTGGGGATTTGTCGACAACTGCCATTCAGTGAACAACGCGCGGGCTTTATAGATTTCCTGTGTGTGGTCTTATTGACAATAATGTCAATGACGCGCCATTTTGTCAGCTCTCTTTCCTTCCTGAGAGATCTCTGGTGTACCGCTTCTACTGCCACCTATGATCAAAACGCGTAAAGACCGCACTTGTCCTATGATATATCCCTGACACATTAGGGGGATTTCAACATTTTGCCTCTCGCAAGATTTCAATCAAAAGCAGATCTAGCCCTAGCAGCGCTAGAGCATTCCAGACCTAGCCTAGAACATTCCAGACCTAGCCTAGAACATTCCAGACCTAGCCTAGAACATTCCAGACCTAGCCTAGAACATTCCAGACCTAGCCTAGAACATTCCAGAGTACTCTATATGACCTTTCGAATGTAATTTCACTGGCGGCAAAAGGTGGTAGAATGTCAGTTTTCCCGCTGTGTGAAGCTCTGTGCCTCCATCACTGTCATGTGTCCATGTCAGGAGTCACGAGGGGAATGCTTACACACAATAATATCAGTTGGGCTGCAGTACAGCCCTTCCGCCGATTACGCCCGCAGACGAAACATTCGGTACACGAAGATGATGTCTGAGTAGCCGAGTGCAGCCAGAGTGAACAGCGATGCGCTGATCAGACCCCGCGAATGCATCTGTATCCACGAAGTTTACAACATCGTAGCGATGAATCCCATGAGAAGTGCAAAACCGAGCCATTTCCGGTGTGATAAATGAGCGAACGAACTCGACCGTCAGATGAAATGCAGGAAAGTCGAGAATGTTGGAGTCCGGGATTGGGTAGGTAATGGATGAGTTGGAATGGGCGTGGTATTGAATTTCGTGTACAGCGCCAAGTCGTGAACATCTGCTACATGGGTGGCCGCTGTGAAAGAGGTCTTCAAGTAGGGCGTTGGGCAGTTTCGAGACGAAGTCGCTTTAAGTTCGCGCTTCATTGTGGTCTTTGCCATGGGCAAAAATGACACCGTGATCTTCCTACCGCTGTCGCACAATGAAGGTTGGTGGTTGGGACTAGATCTAACAAAGCATACCCTTTGTATACCCTAGTACCTTGCTCTGAGTCTCACCGTTGGTTAGGATTGTTTGAATCGATCAGCAACCCATTCCACCGACCTCGCACACGGCAAAATACCAAACAGCAAGTCTTCACCTATCTTCCTTCGTCTATATAGGGCTGGCTAGGGCTGTGTCCATATAAGGAAGGCGTGTCGTTCATGTCAAGTCAATCATCTTGGTAGACTCAAGGAACGGTCGTCTGTGCAATGAGCCCACAAAACTACTCAAGCGCAGTCAATTCGCATACAGATGGATCCATACGCAGGACAAAAATTCTCTTCCTGGGCACGAGAAGGTGCATGATCTCTACGTTTCGCTATCCTCTCCCTTTACCGTCCTAACCTACCCCAGGAGCGGAAAGACTTCCATACTCCAAGTCCTCTTCAACGGTCTCCCCGTGAAACAGACTTTCTTCCTCGAGCCCACAATGCGCGTTGCAAAACATTTCATTGAGTGTGCACTCATCTCTGACTTCTCCTGGCGCCGAATACTGAACATTGTTTCTCAGTACCGTCATCCCATTGGAGATATGGGACTGTCCAGGAAACGTCACCGTCGACACACTTGGCGCATCCCTTGCTGATTTCTCGACCATCGTATTTGTCATAGATATTCGAGTACGTGCACTGCGTTTAGCCGCTGACTGCCAGCCTCATCGAGTTCCGTAGGATCTGTACCAACAGCCCGTCTCAAAGCTCGTAGAATTTATCGTCGCTGCATATCAAGTTAACCCAAACATCAACTTTGAAGTGTTTGTACACAAAGCAGAAAGGCTCCCAGAGGACGACAAGATCGGTGCGCCCGTCCCGCATGCATTCATTGCTCGTTTGACTGAACTATCACCCAGAAAACTTCAGGCAGATACACGAACGCGTGATGGACCGCCTCCTAGACGAATCTCCCGAATTCGAGCAATTCCCTCTCAACTTTCATCTCACCTCAATATATGACCATTCTCTCCGAGAAGCGTTCTCTCGCATGCTTCACAAACTGCTCGACTCCCTACCATATCTAGAAGAACTATTAAACGTCTTTTGCTCTGTACGTGCCTTCACTGCCCTTTGTCTCTAAGGTTTCTTTTCCGTCTAACCGCTCGCAGAACACAGCATCACCAAAGGCTTTCTTATTCGACACATCAAGCAAAATCCACGTCGCAACAGACACATCGCCAGTGGACCAAGCAACCCACAATCTCTGCTGCGACTACCTATCCATGCTCAACTCGTTCGGGCCCCTGTACAGGTAAATACGCATCATGTAACACCCTCCATCCTCTAAAACCATCCCAATAGATCCAACTCCAACGACCCACAGATAAATCGTCGATTCCCCCCAACACCAACACCCCCACCCACAGCCACCGCATCAACACCCGCCTCCAGCATCACACCCGCCGGAACATCGCCACCACTCACTATCTCATCCCCCGTTCCCACATCAAAACCCCACTTCTTCCCTTCTGCAGCGGCCTCTCTCTCACCTTCGCACCCAGGAACTACGCTCACCTACCACCTCATCACGCCGCATCTCGCACTGCTCGCGCTGCTTCCGACGACGGTGTATGAGATGCGTAAGGGCTTGGTGGAGTGGAATGTCGTGTGGTTCAGGGAGGGCATTAGGGAGATATGGGAGGTGGAGAGGGAGCGGAGTACGGAGAAAGTTGTTTGATTTTTCGGTTTCATGTGTGTGCTACTCTTCGTGCATTGTGCTATGAATTGATTGTTATTGTACGAGGAAGATTTGTGAACGAGGACGCCGAATGGGTGTGCCAGAGGTATCTAATAATTCACATCGACTTGTGACGCTTATCTCTATTTATAAGGTAAAGAAATTTCGAAACAGACGAGTGAGAGGGGACGTGAGCGCTACATCTGCGCGTTTTGATGGGAGTATTCCAACAAGTTACAAGACGGTCAAACATGAAGAGGTCACGAAGTCCAAGATATCCTAGCCACTCAATTAGCGACTGACCTTTTGAATTTACCGTTTGACTATACTGCTCGGCTATCTCCCCCAAGGCATTACGTGCATGGGGTAAGAGACATATCTGGGGTAAGAGCATTCTGCTACGCAAATTCACGTCCCACTTACATATTCGTTTTCTTGTCACATACGTAAATGACAGGGCAATTTGATCACAGGACAGCGGAGATGTGAAAAGCAACCTTGCTCGGAGCGAACTCATCTTCCATTCCAGCTGATTGACAGTGAATCACGACATTTGCACTCCAGACCTGCGCGAATAACTCTGATGGGGGGTCAAGTGATCCGACGCCTTGGACCCTGGGGTACAGATTTACCGAACAGCAGCAACACGTTGTGCAGACGCAATGAGTCAAGGATCTTGATGTGTATTTGGCTCAGCAAAGCAATCGAGGTATATAAGAAGCTCGTCCACGCTGTGAGTAACTCAGATTTCCACCTCTAACTTCATTTACAACCACTATCAGACAACAACATGCTCAGTACATCTACAAGCTGAAAAGTGTCGCGCACCCAGAGCGATTTATCGCCCTCGTCGACAGGAACATCGTTGGACGCTCCGATAAACTTCCCGAATTCGTGATTGAGGTATGATCTATTTTAGATACTAGGTTTCATGGCTTACGCGAGACTCTCTTTGAACGCATTTCTGCGGTGGTGTGTAACATTCCACGAGGGTGTGGCAACATTTCAACCGATCCGCGATGGAGAAGGATATGATGAATACATTTAGTTCGACAAGGAGGTAGGTTGTCCCCCTCCTTTCAAGGAGAATGATGAGCTGATCAAGTCGCTGGTGTATTCCAGATCCAATCTTTAATTCCCTCTAACAAACCTTGGCTCTTTGTACTCAAAGCAAGTCCCCGATTGCCCAACTATTTGTTCGTGAGTCTATAACGGCGAGTAGAACCATGGTGTACCTTAAAACGCTTCCCTTCAGTGTTGGGATCTCCGACACCGATCTGGTCTGGGCACTTCTGTCATTGGACGAGAACACACCTGTAAGAACCGTCTATTGCTTTTCTTGTTGGAACGCCTCTTACACCATGTCGCAGCTTGAGATACAGCTAAGCACCGACGCAACTCCGCAGTTATGGATGTTTGAAAAAATATCTGATTAGCAGCTCCATCATGGTACTAACGTCTCGTTTGCAATCATGCCCAAGCCAAGCGCTGTGATATTTCCCATCGCTACCCAATGGAACACAGATCAGTCTTGGGTTGATATTTAATACAAATTGTCACAAAAGTATTCCGAAGCTCGAACACTTTTAAAGTCGTTCAGGCCTCCTACTAGTACTGCATTTTCTGATTCAAATGTATGTACTTCGTAATGACGCCCTCGTCTTGCTGGTGTCACTCTTTGTCTCACTTGTCAGTCGAGATTGAAATGACCTCATCACCAACTGGCAGCAACTTGTGAAACATCCCTTTGACAATTCGGATGTCTCACGATTGCTCTAGATGAAGTTCGCGTATATAAGGTCGTCGCTTGACCCTACTCTCTACTCCCACTTGCTTAGTTTAGACCTCCAACTTCATAACATTTCTGATATTCGATGGGAAGCCCAGACAATTGGTACGATCTAGGATTCAAGCGAGAGGACTATCTCACTCTCCAGCGGGCCTTTACGATGCCTGTCCTTGGATCCCTATTTGTTCAGTGGTACATCTTCGAATCGACTACATTCTCCAACCTCATTACAAAGACCTATGACCTCGTCCATGTCGATCGCCCAGTCGACCTCGTTTACCTGGTGTTTCTCGAGGATTCGATTTACTCTTTTCGTGTTGGATACTCAATAGGCCCATGAATAATGGAAACCGCCTCTTCCTTGATCGTGATTATCGTGGACATCTTCATGTCCTTCATCGGCGCTTCTGGAAGTTGATCAAATCTTTTGACGTTCGGCGAACGTTTCCTCGCTTCTCACGAATCATCTCTTGGAATTCCTGTAATGTGCACCGACGTCGGGTTTCTGCGAGACCTCGTCCTGATTGATGAACGTTCGTGCAGCCCAACACATTAATCTCGAAAAGATTGTCTTGACCTGTCCTGGCCTCTACGAATGAGTCATGACATTCAAACTTGAACTCTGTCGCAAGAGCCATTATATAGGGAAGTTGTAAATAGGTTCGGTTAAATAACTGGTTTTGTTAGGACTTTGGCTTTTAAAAGGAAAAAATTATATATATATTGGTCATAACTACAAATAATCACAGTATAGCAAGGAGTGAAATAGTTGTAAAACAGAGATAGGCATTCAGAATAGTTAGCACTTGCAACTGTTGCGAGTGCTACAGGATTGCATATGCAGTGTAGTTAGCACTTGCAACAGTTGCAAGTGCTACTGCAGTACAACTGTAGTAGCTATATTGTCGCACTCGCAACTGTTGCAAGTGCTAATGCAGTACAGCTGTAGTAGCTATACTATCACACTCGCAACCGTTTCGAGTGCGATGGTATGTCACGTGATGTTCGCGGACCCTGTAATAGTAAGAACATGAGGCTAAGGGTCCAGGGGATAGGGCAAGAAAACGGGGGCGAAAGAAAATTGCCCTCTTATCGATAACCATCATCACCTCTACCAACATATAGAATAAACCCAAGGACATCAGATGCCTCCGAAAACACCGCGCAAAAGCGGGGGGAAGAAGGCTGGGGGAACAACAGTAGTGGTGAGTGATGAATATAGAACTAACCAGTACTTATAGGGTCAAAATAGAAATAGGTTTCAAACTTGTGAAAAAATATCTTTTGGTGGGCTGGTACATATCATAGAGGGTATCGATAGGATGGATATGAGCCAACAATTAAGAAAAACGGCGGTTGGATTGTAGAGATATGTTCAAAATACCGATATTTGAGCCAACCTCCCATATCACAATAATGCTGACCTCCGGAAGGTCTGGGACCATTCCCAATCGATTCACAGGCCTCAAATACCTTAGGATCAATGTTTGCAGTATCGGTATTGAGGTGAAATACTGGGATAGTGACATACATGAGGTCAGGAGGAGGAGGAGGACCTTGTATATCTATACACCGTATGGCTGAATATTATATAAAACATGTCACATTTTTATTGTTTTATGAGTATCTCATTTGATAGAGGGTGTTACTGGGATTGTGTTCCACTCACTTTTATAAAATTTGGTGGTCAGGAACATGAGTTATGTCCATTTTACTGTTTGGAAGGTGATACCACTCCATGACCATATTCAACAGGTATTATGTCATCTACAGGGAGTTATATCACTTGCATATAGGTCTATAAGTATTATAATCAGGTAAATTTGGTATCTCCATCTGATGATGACCACATTCAGACATTTGCCCTAGGTGAGAGGAGGAGGGGGTGAACTATAGCAATGAAAAAAATTCCTGTGATCCTGAAACTTGGTTTATCATCTTCTCTGACCTTTAAACTGGTGGGCACATGATCAGCTTGGTCACTGGTACATCCAGAGTGATCTGGCTCTGGTGTCTCCTGGTGGGTTGAGATGATCTGAGTCTATCACCTCACAAAAAATTCTGGGGATCCTGAAAACTAGCCTATCATGTTCTCTGGCCTTTAAAATGGTAGGGACATCATCAGTATACTCGCCAGTACATAATCTGGGTTTGGTGTCTCTTCATAGCAGGAGGTGTTCTCAGTCTATGATCTCACAAAAAATTCCTACTGCTCTGAAACTTGGTGCACCATCATTCTTGACCTTTACAATGGTAGGAACATAATCAGCTTGGTCACTGGTGCATCCAAGATGATTTAGTCCTGGTGCCTCCTGATCACTGGAGGTGACCTAAGTCTATCACCTTACAAAAAATTCCAGACATCCTGAAACTTGGTGTATTATCATGTCTGACCTTCCAAATAGTGGGGACATGATCAGCTTGATCACTGGTGCATTTTGAGTCATCTGCTCCTGGTGTCTCCTGATGGGTGAAGGTGATCTGAAGCTATCACCTCACAAAAAAATCTAATAATCTAATCCGAGTAGTATGGGGCATACTACCGGTCGCAACTACCATATCGGGTAGTTGCGACCGTGCGCAACACCCAAAGGGGTAGTTGTGACCGTGCGCAACTCGTGCGCAACCTGGTCGCAACATGTTGCTTATACTGATTGATGATGGAAAGTAGGAGTGAAATAAGCTGTCGACGGCTTATTATTTGAAAGTGGTGATTGCGACCGTGCGCAACTACCATATCAGGAAGTTGCAACCGTGCGCAACCATTAGTAAGCGTGCGCAACTACCATATTAGGTAGTTGCATCCATGCGCAACTACCATATTGGGTAGTTGCGACCATGTGCAACATACCCAAGAGGTAAGTTACAACCAGTTGCAATAGCTAGGGCTATACTACCAGCAACAAGTAAGGAAATGAGTTGGCCGCAAGTAGGCAATGGTCAGGCAATAATAGCAGTAGTCAAGAAATAAGCCGTCGACGGCTTATTTTTCACTTTTGAATTCTGACAGTTTATACCAGTGGTGAAGAAATAAGCCGTCGACGGCTTATTTTCAGTTTTGACAGTCAATACCTTTGTGTCAACTGTAGGACAAGTTATAGACTGGTATAAAAAATAAGGACTCAAGGACAAAGGCTAATACGATAGTGTCAAGTCAATGGTGTCAAGTCAAGAGACTCTGATAATGTAATCAATACATGTAAAGTAGGAG